ACCTGTCAAGGGAGACCTGGGCAGCCTTAGGGGCTTCTTTCCTCTCCAACAGGGGGAAATTCAACGGAGGGTGATTGCAAAGCTGTTCCCCTGGCAGCTTTATCTGCTCTTGCAATCAGCAGAGCAGCGGCCCTGGCAGCAAGGGCTAAAAAGGAAGCTGGCCCGGAATTTTTGGGTGCCGCCCGAGAAAGGGGTGTCGGCAGTGTGTAAGACAAAGGCACAGAAGCAGCCCTCCTTTGCCAGGAGTCCGCTGACTTCCCGGGAGGGACAACGCACGTCCAGCAGGAGGAGCCGCGCAGGTCCAATGGCTCCTCATCGGGGGACCAAACCAGAAGGAAGCGCCGCGCGCGAAGCCGCCGTCGCCCAGATTCCCTTGCACTGCCGCTCGCAGCTGCTCCAGGAGCACCGTTGCTCCGGGGCTGTTCCCGCGAAACGCCCGGGGGGACCGGCGCGCCCGGCTCTTCCTTCCTCCCGGGCGCATTTCCGGGCGGGCAGGAGGGGCTCCATCCGGACGGGGGCGCGGGTGCTGCGCCGGGTCCGCCGCAGAGGAGGAGGGCAGGTAGGGCCGGGCCGGGACCCGGCGGGGGGCCGGGGCCTTGCGGGGAGGGAGCGGGGGGGCGCGGCAGCCTTGCGGGGGGCGGCGGGGCCCGATCCCTGCTCCCCGGGGCCAGGCGCGGCGCCGGGAGACTCCGGGGCAGCGGGCCTGGTGCCGCGGGGCGAGCCTTGCGAGGGGCGGCGGGGGGGGTCCTTCCGCCCGCTCCCCAAAGGAAGGGGCGCCGCTCGCAGGACCTCCTGCCCGCCCGGAGCGCCCTGCAGGCTCGGCGGTCGTGGGAACGCGCTCGGCGGCGGCCTTTGTCCGCGCCCTCGTGGCGCCACGGAGCCCCTTTCGCGGCCACGCGCAAGAAGTGCCCGGCGCGGGACGGGGAGCGGCGCGGGCCCTGCAGAGGCGCGGCGAGGGCGGCCGGTCCGCCTCGCCCTCCGCCCGGGAAGCTCCTGGGCTGCACAGCCAGCAGGCGGTCGGCGGCGCGCAGGGGGACCCCAAACGTGGGCAGGGCGGGCCGGGGGGCGGGCGAGGCGGCCGGGGGGGGGCCCCAAACGGGGGGAGGGCGGGGCGGGGGGCGGGGGGGGGAGGGACCCCTGCGGGCGAGGAGCCCCGGGGCCCCTGCAG